GGTGTGGAAGGGGTAGTTGGGGCTGGGCTGCTGGGAGGATGCTTCAATCTTCAGTGTCACCTTCAACTCTCCCCCGCCTTTCCTGGGTATTGGGTAGCTCAGCTAGTGGGGCAGAGCATTTTCGTTACCCTGATTTTGCAGTTTAACGCTACCATAAGCCATTGCAGCATGTTTATAGCATCCAGCATTTTCCCATCTGGCCCTCCCCAAGCTGCTCATCCCATCCAGAAAGCAGAAAGCATTAAAAGAAAAATGTAATGAGAGTAAGCAAAACGGCAAACCTGTCTGGGTTGTTGTTTCCTACGGCTGGCCCCCCTCCCCTGAGGCTCGCTGCGAGCCGGCAGCACAACCTCACCATGCAGTGGTGCTCCCCGGGCAAAACCAGAGGGAAGAAACAGCCGCGCTACCAGGTTCGCTCTGAGCGAGTGAACAGCATCTTCACCAGTGGTGGGAAGCGATCTGTCCACTAACCGGGCCCAGATTGCACTGAATTGGAGCAAACAGCACAAGTGTGAGGGCATGCTGTGCACTGGCCCAGTGGCAGATAGCGAGGTTAATTACTCTGCTCGGTTTTAGCCCATCATGCTCTAGAGGGGGAATACACTTCACTGGGCAGGGGGGGAAACAAAGCCGACCAGTTTGTGGAAGAGAAAAGCCTGTTCCTTTAATCTATTTGAAAGCTTTTGGTACATCAAAGTCCTGGCAAGAAGAGATATCTCTGATATAATTGGTGTGGACACTTGCAAAGGTTTTGATAAAGACCTTTGTGAAAGAGCTATTCTGGAGAGGCAAAGAAGGATCATGGGTTAGGCACTAGCCAAGAAACAAAAACCCCAAAAGCAGGATGAGGATTGGGCAAACGTCACACGGCTCTGAACCCCACCCAGCAGCACGCTCAGCCCCGGGGCTGCTCACCACACACGGCAGATGAGGCGCCCCCGACAGCAAAGCCCGACTGGGGGTGACGAGGATTGCCAAGGGCACCACCAAAGCCAGGGGAACAGGCCAGAGCGGGGGAAAAGGATCCCCCCATGGACACAGCCTGGGCCGGGCTCCTGGGAGGAAGGGGGTGATGCTTGTGACAACCAGGGAAGTCCAGATCAGCTGTCACCTCTCAAAAAGAAAACCCAGCTAGAGCCATGGGCAGCTCACCACAGCCCTCCACTGGGTGTTGGAAATATATATTATTACCCCCAAAATCCTAAACAACCGAAGAACAGAATTGGATAAGGATCAGGAAAGTCGGGAACTGCGTCCAAATGCAGCTCCTCTTCGCTGCCCCTCACCAACTCCCAAAGCACACATCAAAAAGAGAGGAGGGGAGCGTTTCTGAGATGGGAAAGTAAGAGGGTTAGAAATAGAGTCTAGCTAGAATTGAAATTATTTTAATTTCTAGATGAAGTGAGTAAAAAGCAACATAATGGCAGTATACAAAATAATGAATGGCACAAAGAAGGTACATATAAGTACTCCTATTTACACTTTTTACAGAAAAAGAGAACAGAGGGACAGTCAACAAATCCGAACAACAGCACATGTACAAGGATAAGTGAAAAACTGTTGTTCTAATGCACTGTGCACAATCACCGGGGGAGCTCACTGTTCCAAAATATCACTAAAATTGCAGATGCAGAGAGACTTTCAAGAAAGGGACAGGAATGTACCTGAAAGAAAAGAACATTTGCAGTTATATTTGCTATATGTGAGTTACATTAGCAGTGAGCAATAATACGGGGTTTTAAGAGAGAAATTCTCATACAAATAAGAATAAATGGGAGGGGGCAAAGATCCCCGTGGGCAGATTAGTCCAAAAATTGCCTTCTAAGGAATGTCTTGTTCCTCCTTCCTCTGAAGCATTTACATTGGCTATTGGCAGCAATCGGCGACTGGAGAAGAGGAACTACTTCTCCTGATGCCCGCTGGCTCCCTCCTGCAGCAAGGCCAGAGCACCTTCCCATCCGCTCTGTCCCCATGCATCGCCCAGAGACGGGGACTTTCACCTTCCCTCCCCCGCAGCCATGTCGCCATGTCGCCGGTGGAGCACCCGGCAGGGCCAGCCTGGCGTGCTGCTGCCACCAGCCTCGCTCCATGCAGCGACTTCCTTGAAGACCATCGTAGTTTTGGGGTCTCTGGCTTCAGGGGCTACCAAATAGCATCATCTGAAAGCCTAAACCCGGTTCCCCAGGCTGGGGTGCAGCTGCGGTGGGTGGGGGCTGCCTGGGAAAAGGCAGCTGCTCAGGCGGGTGCCGAGTCCCAGCTTGCTCGTTCCTTGTAGCCAAGGAACATTTCACATCCTCAGCCATATGTGACTGAGAGAGGTAAAAATAATCCTGTCTTTTTTTTCATTGACATGCAGTGATAACTCCCCTATTCGTCATCGAAATGAACTGAAATTAATCTCGATAACAATTCTGCCTGGTGATGGGACTGCACGTATTAGTGATACACATCAGCACACCTTCGGGAGTGATGGTACCTAGCTAGGTATCAGTGAAGGCCAGCAGTGGGGAGGTGGGGCGGGAAATTACTTCAGTGAGCATCCCTGAATTTAAATAGAGCCAACAATTGCAAAACTGCGTTTGTGGAAACCTTCCTTTTCATGGCCTTGCTAATCTGAGGTAGATCAGATTTGAGGCAAGAAGCCCAGGCCTTGACTGTGCCCACAAAGTTTAAATAAAAATAATAGCCACCTCGCCTTAATCTCCCTCTCTGTGAGGTTGTGTCCTTACACTCAACCCAGAGCACGAATCATTCTTACCCCGACTGCCGCCTGTTCCCAAAGGATGGCATCCCAGTTCCCAACTGCTTCACAGCTCCGTTGCAGCACTCCCTCACCTTAGCTTTTCCCTGCATCGCAAGCACATCTGGCATACTCCCCCCGCCAAAACACATCAGTTAGAGGTAGCGGGTGCTGTTTTCCCCTCTCTGTGCAACCCCAACTTCCAACGTGCTACCTTCTGCAGGAGATGTGGCGGCCTGAAGCTGGCAGACGGAGCTAGGGCACCTTCTGCCCATCGCCCCCAGCCCCTCCGCCAGCTGCCCCCGCAGCTGATCCGCAGCCCATTGAGGTGACGACTTTAATGTCCCACAGGCTGACTCCTACACCTGGAGAAGATAGGCAGCCTTTCCCACATGGAGCTGAATGCATGAGGTGGATATAAAGAGGCCTTATTTTTTGTTGGGGTTTTTTTTAAGACTTTATTTGTCTAACATGCTTGACCAAAAATTACAACAACAATCAAGTTATGCCAAAATGATTAAATAACCTTTAAGCTTTCATACCTCAAGTACTTTAAATGATATTTTGAAGTAACAGCTGCTTTTGTATCCTTTCCACAAAAAAATACACAGTATTTTGAAGATACCTTAGGAAAAATTATTTTTAAGAGAATAGTTTATGGTTGACATCATAGAAATTTTGTCGAGGCTAATAAAAGGATCTCTTCCCCCCACTTTAACATTTTAGTCTCTTAAGTGCCGTGAGCGAATGTAAACATTTCAGACTTCTTTAACATACAGCCAATTTCCTGCCACGTTTGTTTCAAACCGCTTGATTTGTGACTAGCTAAGACACTTTTATTCTAACTACACGCTATTGCTCATCTTCCCAATGATGGTGGGAGTTCATATTCAACTGTGAATTTCAGCCCTTGCTGATTTAGGAGCTGATCCTGCCATTTCTACACCCATAGTTTTGACAAAAGTGGCCCCATCTGAATTCACGGCAGACTGCTCACGCGCTTGTGGGCTGTTCACCCAAAAACCAGTTGCAGGCGCCACCGATCATTTTGGGTTTCGTTTCAGGAAAAAGCAGCAAATTAGTTCAGACCCCAAGTCACCCAACAGCTTACAAGAAATAACAGACCCGTGACTTGTCATGTTTTCTGGTGGTCTGGTGGTTTCTGGTGGGCCCACAGCACGAGTTAGTTACTGGACTCGAACGTCACTGCTCCGAGCAGCAGCTGGAAGAGCCGCTGCCCGTGGGAAGCCAGCGAAATGCAACGTTCCTGCCTACCTCGCTTAGAGTTGAGGCTGACATAGCCTGGTTTTGCAACACAGGTATTTTAAATTGTGTATGCATATAACATACATGCAGCTGCTACGTGAAGCTCACATTTACATCCATGTATCAGGCAAAAAGTAACATACACAATTACCCAATGTGTGTGTGCAGAAGTGGGCTATGCGCAGACCTGCAAACAACCCGTATTGGTAGCGCGAGGATCTGCCCAATGCGTGTGAACGAGATTAACGGCTAGATGCCGGCGGCCCCAAATTCAGGATGTCCACATTCAGAATACTGCAGCTAAATTACCTCCATCAAGGCAAAAAGGATCCTCTTTGAGCATGGAGGAGTTTGTTAGTTCAAGGCAGAAACCCATTTCTTGTAGGGCACGTTTGAAGTACTTTTTTTTTTTTTTGTGGGTTTGTAATCAATTCTCAAGCCTCTGCCTAGGATGGGACAGAAATCCCAGCAGCTTCAAGACCTTTGTTAACCTGCAGGAAAGCTGCATGGGCAGTACTAGCGCTGGCCATCCCAACCAGCTCCTGACACGTCCCCTGCTTTGCCTGGCGTCACACGCAGCACGACGGATGGATTACAATTCGGTTGATGATTTTTGTCTTGGGCCTCTCTCAGCAGTGTCCATGAGCAGGCAAACAGCAATGACAGGTTTTGTGAGGCGACCCTGCTCTGTGCCCATTGGCGTGTGCTCGTCACTCATCGCACTTAACGCTACTACACAGCTACCCAAAAGTGAATGCCCAAACTCCACCTTGAGGTGACCCCTTCCCCTTGTCATCCATAGCGTTCCCCAAGGACGAAAGGATCACAATGACATTTAATCACTTCTGACTGGGGCCAAATTCAAACCAGGATTCTCATCATCGGCTGCATGTCCCATTAACAGGTTTTAAACAAATAGTCCCAGTGGGTTTTATTTAAAATACCACTACTGAACATTGGGTGGGTTTTCTGTGGGGTTTTTTTTTTTTGCTTTTTACATACAATCACATATCGCCTTACCATATGAAAACACAGTTATATTTTTTCTTTTTTTTTTTTTTAAGGGAAATGTCATCCTTTTTTTCGCAGGCGAGTCCAGGTTACAAATTCCTGAGTTTATACTGCACTTAACAAAGTCTCCCTTCTTGAATGTTGAGCTGTTTACAGCATGCTGGCAATATGCACCATTTCCCTTACCATCTGTAATGCCAGATGTAGTAAAACTTCATTTCAGTACAGTGAATTAGGGCCTCTATTGTATTGGTTTTGAATAGATGCAAAGACTTAGACCTGGAGGACTTGAAGTAATAGCTTTCCTCCTGTGACTGGTCACTCATGCACCACCTCTTTTATATTTGCCATGTTAATTAAGGGAAAACATCTTTACCATCATTTTTCTTTTACCAAGAGCTCACTGGGAAACATCTGAAATGAGGAAATCCTAGTCTAAACACTTAAGTTTAAACTGCAAACTTTCTTAAAGAAACACTCCTTTGAAAGACATTGTTCTTTTAATAAGTCCAATATAATGTACGGTATATACAAAAGTCCCTACTTGAGAGAGAGATATATGTATATGTATATATATATATGTGGAATGCATTCACTTTTTTGTGTTCACAAATATTTTAATGGTGAAATGTTGAAGTCTTTAATCTGTTTCTGGCACCAAAATGTCTTTGTTCCTCATCCACTTTTGTCACTCAAAACTTATCTGTGAAGAGCTAGCAGGGAAAAAAGAAGAAGGTTTTTGCTTTTTTGTTGAATGGTTCCCTATTGGGATTCTCAGCCAGCAATATAAAGTTGCTAATGTGTTGGGCACAACTTTAAATCCTCATTATAATCATGTGTTCCTTGGAGTAGGTAAGTCAATAACTATAGGTGGATTAAGTGGCTGGTAATTCACAGTGCACACAGATGCATTGACATAGGTAGTAGTTCCATCAGCCATGACACCATAACCTACAAAGAAAGAAAAACTCTGGTTACTCTCATTATTCATTACCATCTTTTTTTTTTTTTAATTATTCACCTTTATCACACAACGGTAAGTGCCACATTTATTACTCAGAAGGAGTTTAAAAATTCTCTTCGTGCAAAACATAAAGGTCTCCTGAATTAATACCATCTTTGTCCTACAGCAGAACTTTTTGCCGTCTTTTAAATTGTGTAAGAAAAGTAAAATGGACCCTCACTAGCTAGCGCCTATGATCTCTGGCAGCCAGCTAGCCAATCCTCCTTAGACAGACAAATATTTTTCGCTGCAAAGCTTTTTTCTTAAAACCTTCTCAGTTTTGAAAAGGATGAGAAGATAGAGCTTAGGCAATTACAGCATTGAAAAAAACATACTTCTGCTCATTTAGGTTTGCAGTCATCAGTGCAGCAAACTTGGGACAATTTTCATCTTTCCACCTTTTTTTCTGTCCTGTGTTGTACATCTTTTAAGCAACCAATGAAGAAAAATCATTGCCTGACTCAGGGGAGTATGTGTGCATGTGCACCTGGGTGGGATGTGTCGAGTAGGAACCTCTTCTTCCCATGCGTTTGAACTTGTTGACCAATTTCAACCAAATTTGATGGAAAGACACTAAAATGCCTGCCCGGGCAGGGAAAAAATGGCTTTATTTTAATGCATTCTCTGACAGACAAGGTGAATTCACACCCTAAGACACCATAACATTTCCACGGGAGAAAACACCCTTCTATATGTCTCACCAGTGGCGAAAAACCTTTAACTGCATCTCATGTCTGACTAGACACCCAAGCCAAACAATTCCAGAGCTAAATCTGCAGAAAATCAAACTTCCAGCTCTAATGCCTGTAGAAATACAGCAAAATGCTGTTTCAGAAAGTTAAGAAGCAGCCCTTTAACTGCCCTGGTGTTAGGAAAAGTAGACACACTCTCCGATGTCAAAAATCTTTTCATCAATGTCTAGGAAAAACATATGATTACACTGAAAGGAAAAGCTTCATGGTGGTAACTTGCATTGAAATATTAAGATCAATATGAAGAAATGCATTCACAATCAGAAATATATGATTTTGGGGAAATCAACTGGTAGAAAGCATTTGTGCTAAGATTCAATCTCACCATTAATGACGTTAATAGTGAAACGTATTCACTGCTACATACACCGAGTTCCGGCTATTCAAATCCTAGGTACCTACAATCCTACAGTTCTTCTGAGTGCAATTTCATGTCTTATAAAAGCATTGTTAGTTGCAGAATTTACAAACAAAGAAACAGTAGCCAAATTCCTTTCTTTTTTGTTCCTCAAAATACCCTGAATAATGCAGGGCCTCCTGGACTCCCCATGGAAAAACCAGACTGTAATTAGGGACTAGGGAGGGAAGAAAACTCTGTCAGGTTCCTGTCACAGACATTTCTTTAAATCATTTGCTGTTTGCCACAGAACAATTGTTCTGTGTAAAACACAAACTGCACGGAGGACAGTCAGCATTGCTGCTGGGACTTTCTGTCTCCTCGGCTACACGTTTGGAGAGAACAGAATCAGCTTGCTAATACGTTCCTTTTGCTGGAAGATTCCTAATGCTACAGTTTTTACTCCTACCCTACTGCCAGCAGAGTTTCCTCAGCCACGACCTCAGCCAAGTACTGGCTGTAACGGGCAAACCAGGGTTTTAGCCGGAGTCCCTGCCATGCTGCTTGTCACTTCCATGCATCGACCGGCACCAAGCCCATGCGTAGAGGTATTTTTTGGCAGAGACAGCAGTGCAGAGGGGGAAACATCTCTTCTAAGCATCTCTTCCTCCCGGATGTTCAGTAAATGACTGCTGCAGATGTAGCTATGCTCAGTGAGGGGAGGAACTCATCTGTTCAAATCATCCATTCTCTCTACAAAGAGCAGCTTCATTTGCACAGGCTGTCTGCAATGGGAATTCTCCTCTGCAGAGATTTAGCATCCCACTGCAAAACAGGCTATGCACTTCCCCATTCGTTTTCTCTAAATTATGATAGTTAACAAGAAGAGTACCTTGTTTCTGTGTTCTGATACCTCCTGTGCCAACTGTATTAATTCACAAGATTTACCATTCTGTGGAGGTGCCTTTCTTTTCCCTTGGGAGCCAAAGTTGGGCTTGGTCTTAGCAGATGTGATTTCGTTTACCTGCCTGAAGCTTCATGGCTGGCTAAGTGTTTGCTTATATCGCCTGCAACCCACTTGGCTTACAATTTCTGAAAAAACAATGAGTTTGAGCTGTATTCACCAGCTCTCTTGTACGGAATCTCGAAGACTGCTATAATAGCAAAGGGTTAGGAAAAAATACTGCCTATGTGTTGCTTGTTTACTCTGTGATGTAACAGCACCTTGGACATTAACTAGGCATTAACAGGTCAATGCAGATGCAACACAGGAGGAGAGTGGACTTAATCCCCGAGCTGTAAAATAACGATCTGAATGTCTCCTCCATCAATTTTACACCAGCACACCTCTCACCAATGTCACTCCTAACCTAGCATGGTGAAAGCTCCCAGCAGCAAGTCAGAGTGGGATTTCTTGGGAAGGGTAATAGTTCTTCACGAAAACAGAAGTATCAGAGTGCCAGCTACTCCAGTTTTTCCATTTGTTCATTTCTACACTGGTGAGACCCACAGGTATCCTTCAAAGGCTCGAGCAGTCCCAGAAGCAGAAAACTGGCAGTTGTAGAGCACCTTTTCCTGCCAGTAAGTTAACATTGCCAAGAACTAAGCAGCTGATAATACATGCTTACATGCCAATGGTACACTTCTGCACAGCCCACTCGTTTCTTTTGGTAGGGGCACTGCCTGATATCTTGCTGCCGTGATACATGAACAGGACAGACTTCTCTATAGCAGACAGCATCCACCTTTCCCTTTGCCTGAAGATGAACTCCTACTGTCACTGACTTCAGCGGAGCATATTTGTCACCATTTACTGACTTATGTGAAGGGAACTAATTTTTTTCCAGTTAAAAATCAAATTGTCAAGAGAACCGCTTTGTTTTGCCTGGGTACAAAATGCTTCCCCTGCCAAAGCAAGTAAATACGTGAATAAATATCTTGAACTTCAACACAAGTCAGTTGTGACATCCCTCTTGATTTTAACTTCATATACGCACTGATGGGGAGAGACAACCTTTATTGTACAATCTTGAGGATTCGGCCTTAGAAGCAACCCCCGAAGCATTCTTACCCACTTTACAAACACAGAAACTGAGACACAGAGAGCTTACATGAATTATCTTAAGTCACAGAGATTCAACAGAGGAAAACACAATCCATCAATCCTAATATTTAGTCACTTTCTGTAACTACTGGACTCGAGTTCTTATTTTAAAATTCACAGTAATCCTGTGAAGGAGGCATCATCCTGTTTTATAGATGTAGAAACTGAAAGAGAAGCTGAAGTACAAATATTGAAATGTGGGTATCAGCCAATTTCATCTCTATCTATGCAGCTAAATAAGTATCTGAATTCCAGAAGAGCTTCAGTTCAGACATTCAAGTTTGAAAATGCTAGTTAAACCAGACAACTTCTGTGTTTGTGGTTTTTAAATAAACATAGAAAGAAATGTGTTCTGACCTTCATGGATATGTCCAAAAACATGAAGCCTTGGCTGTATTCGTCTCTGGACTGTGTTCAGCAGCTCAACACATCCTACCCGTTGCATTTTCTTAGGAACCCAGTCTAGAAAACCTTTGGAAAAGAAAGGAAAGCTTTAAAAGAAGACAGGTTATCTGCAAAGCTGTACTGCTACACCATATTTCTGAGATTCCATGTCTCGTGGCTTTTCGTAAGCAGCCATAGAAGAATTGACATGGAAAAAAGTGTTTGCCTTGGTAAGCGGAAGCGGAAGGAAGGAAAAATACTTGAGGAAAACCATAAAAGCTCACCCGAAGAGAAAGGACTATGGTAACTCTTGCCAGTTGTTTTTCAAGCAAAAAAAATCACTGCAATTAAAGCATTTTTGCACTGCTGTTAATGGGAAAACTCAATGCTTTATCCATTCTTCTTCCTTTAAGAGAGTGAGGTGTAAAGAGCAGTATGTCCAAAGTGAGTCTCTAAAGAATCTAAACCAGTATTTAGCTGTTTAAATCTAGTCCTGGGATCTAGTTTTTAAAATTGAACACTTTAACTGATGCAATGGAATCTGTGTTCCTAATAATAAAACTATATTGTTATCACATTTAATCTTACAGTAGTGGAACTCAGGTGAGGAACCTACAGCATGCCTAAAAACAACATCCTCAAGTAAAACTGGTTTAAGCGCTTCATAACACAGCAAGCCCCAGCAGCCTAAATCTACGGACCTCAGACAGGAAGAGAAACTCAGCCCTTCTGCAGTAGATGTTTTTAAGCGCTACATTTACTTGCACAAAGTTTGTATAAAAACGCATTTTTTATGAATACAGACAAAAATGTACACCAACTTGCTTGTATGTCTAAAAACATACTGCAGGGGGATGCTTACTGCCAACTGAAGACTCGTGTTTCCTTCAAAGTAGGAGTGTAAGAAGGATGTTGTTGTATTAGAGGGTTTGCAATAACCAATCTTGTTTTCCTTCTATTGTTCTGCCATTTTCACCAGGCTCAAATTTGGAAACCTAAAAGATATAATCATTCTGGTTTTCTTTAGTAGTTCTCGTACCTTCCCTGTGTGCCTGTCATAGCTTTGTACCTCTGACATAGATTGCTGCAGTAGTGTGAATATATTGTGCCTTTGAGAAAACAGTAGTCAGCCAGAGAGGTATAGAGTCTGGACCTAGTTTTCATACGTTTACTTTTGAGGTCCACTCAAGCATGGCTAAATAGCAGCTAACCAACTGCCTTAAAAGACCAGAACTGTGGTATTCAAGCTCTTGGAAAAGCTCTCAGATTTGCTAGAGCTTCAGGGTAGGTTCACACATTGAGAATACCTCTTTAGAAGCCAGTGCTTGAAAACTGGGCTCAGTATACTGTGGGGTTTTATGAAAATGGTAAGAATTTGCCCTTGTATCCCAGTTAGTCAGAGAGCTAAGTCCAATGTTCAGAAGTGAGTTGGGAATGTGGCATCCTAAGTGTCAAAAAGAGGAAGTTCTGATAATGGCCACAGACTCCTAATTCATTCAGACACCTCTGAAGACGCTGCTTGGCTCCCGTCAGGGGGATGTACAAAGAGAAAGCCCCGCTGAATTACAGACAGGGCAGAGCAATACTCAGTTCTGGTAACTGATTTTACCAGTCATTCTTGGTATCCAACACAGGTCAAAATTCACTGTAGGAAATAATAGGTGTTTAAGGTGCCAAAGTGCGGCCAGCCACTCCTCTGGAATCCAGTCATGCTTTTTTCAGAGCAAACGTGTTATAACCATAGGTTTTGCTACTTCAATGATTTGAAACAGTTAATTGTCAAAATGTCTGTGGTTAACATAAAGCCAAAAGTATTTCTACTCCAAAAACTTCACAAACAAAAATCCATAAAATTAACTTCTCCATTAAATTAAGCATTATTTATGTTGAACATGTTTTTGTTTACATGCATTATCACCCTTCTGAAGCTTTCCCATATGTTTGCAGCTTATTATGTACACCTGACTACACAAACTAAGAATAATTGATTACACCTAGCTAACAATTAGAGTTCATCTTAGGGGGTTTTTAATGTTTGGTTACTTGAAACAGGCTTCTGCAGCTGTCAGGAAAGTATAAATCTTTGTCACAGACAATCAAGCAGACAGCTACAAATGAAGACTTAAAGGTGAAATTAAATTAAAAACAACTAAAGAAAAGAACAGTGACCTTTTTCAAGAGAAATAAAAGAATCACAAATACAGTTCTTTAGGAATCAGGGAAAAGACTTAAAAAGTTATACTGTACATAAAAGTAACAAAAATATGCTGATATAGAAATGAGCATTAGCACTGATCCCATAATCATGAATACTATATTTCATAAGCTATGAAATGTATGGCATATCTTTATCAATAATAAACAGGTTACTAAGAAAATGGTCAATAATAGCTGTTTTAACCTTTGTTTTCTCATCCTGGTTTCATCCCAAAGCACTACGCTAAAACAAAATAAAAAAAATTACTCAGACTTTTGTTACGTGCCTCATTGACTTAGAAACACAAAGTCCATTAACTCTTAATGGTGCTTCTGCATCTAAATCATGCAGGCAATTTTAAATCTATCTAATAATGTAGTATTAATTAGTTTAGGAGGATGCGCGCTCTTTTGAAGTGAGGGAATGAGAAAGCAGCACAGAAAATGGATGATGGACAGAATTTAGGAAGCCATGCTGGAGAAAAAAGAGGAATTTGCAAGAGCACTGATTGCTATTTATGATCATTAGGAACAGCTCTAGTGATGCTGTCCAAGATCAGAATAACAGTAATCAGCTTTCTGGTTAAAATAATTGCCTGGGAGGGTCAAGGAGGATCCTGTCTCCCAAAATGCGTGTGGACAGAGCTACACAATAAGGAGGTTCGGTAAGTTAGGCAGAGTGCTCATTTCTTTTGAAGTGTCATGTATTTGTTGCCATGGGTGTCAGGAAAACCAACAGCTGATGCCCTCAGGCAGAGGGTTCTATGCCTGAGACATCTATTAATGCATCAATAAGAAAAAGACAAAGAAATGGGAACTTTTAAAAAAGAAAATCCTTGGAGGACGGTAGAAGCTTAAGAATTCAAAAAAAAAGAGAACGAATGCTGAGACGTGGAGATGGGGGGAATTCATGTTACCCCATTACAGTCAGTGGAGATGGGCGGCTCTTCCTCAGAATTAGTACAATTATTAAATTACTTTTCAATTATTAAATTTACTATTAAATTTATTACTAAAGCATATCTGTTGAGTGCCAGCTCTGCAGTGCTCTCTAGAGGTTCTCCTCCCTCTGCTGATCCCAGAGGCTGCCAGGAGAGGCCTGGTGGCTAAATTAGCAAGGTGGCTGAAGCTGGGTGGTGCAAACCCCTCTCTCCATCTTCCAACACTGGATTTCAAGTGCTAGATACAAAAATATTCTTTGGATCTGAAGGTTGGATTTCTTTACAGCTGATCACCTGGTTTTAAAAATGGCTTTAAAAGTGCTGAAAAAGCTTCTGAAAAAGTTTTAAATATGACTTACAAATAAAACCGTATCAAAGACCCAGCATCATGCCTTGGATCCTAACAGTGATTATCCCCAGTACTAACCATTTGGAGCTGATATCTCAAGGTCTAAACAATTAATTTCTGCCATTCACTTTTATGATACAGGCCCATATTAAAGTCAGTCTATGGCATGGCATGAGACTCCACTTAGGCGAAGTATCAGAACACACGCCCTTACTGTGAGAAACCGTGCTCACAAAGAAGCCCCTTCCCCCAGGATTAGCGAGCAGTGGAATGCAAACATGTCTTTCTAAAGAAAACAACAAAACACAAACCCTTTAGATACTTTCTCCTCCAAGCTCTGAAAGAGGAGAAGAAAGGGTGGAAGACAAGAGGGTTTTAGCTTCAGGAAATTGGGGAATCTAAACGTTTAAAGAAACCAACTGCCTTCATTTCACACAAAGCACTCCTCTGCAGTAAGACTCAGCAGAACACTTAAGTACATGCTTCACTTTCGTGTCCATTTATTAAATTAGTGAGAGTTAAACACATAGTTGCATTAAATATAGCCTCCTATATGTTAAATACATCGAAAATCATCTTAAAAGCCTTAAGCCTTTACTGAATCTGGACAAGCTTCTGTGATTATAGTACTTCTGTAACACAGATAATTTCACCATTATCTAGGAATACAAGAAATCTCTCCTGGATTTTCTATCACCGATATTAATATTTGTAAAACACAAATGCAAAACTATTTCTTGTTGGTCTGTCAGTGTTGCCAGATTGTATTAAAGATAGGCAATTCACCCACGCTGTCCAAAGAACAGGCAAACAATGGCAGCATTTGGGTTTGTGAGGCAGAATATGCACCAAGTCAGCATGATGAGGAAAAATACAGACTCTGGGTACTTGTTGGTGGGGGAATGCTACTGCAAGTGAGGGGGAAAGACAGTGAAATCCCAGTCCTGCATTTCTCTTCAAGCAGGCTCCATACTTTAAATCTACTAATTTCACCAGTGGCCGAGTGGACAGATGCACAGGAAAACTAGACCTTGCTTATTTATAAAGCTCATTAAGGCTTTATGTGTTAAGGCTTTATTTTTTAAGCCATTATTTAATTCCCTACCATTGAGCATAGGCAATCATGAAACATAAACCTGAGCTGAAGTCCTGGTGCTGCTGCAATCAGTACGGATGTTACTTTTGACTTTTGTAAGTCAGGATTGCACTATTTGTCTAAGGAGAGCCATCAGTTACTGTATAATCATCTGAAATACACAGCTAAGAGCACTAGTATTTTCTTACCGAGAGGTGGTCCATGTGTTATAAGAATATCTATTCCATCTGGAATAAGGTTCCATTTCTCTAATAGTGCTTGGCCTCGTGGAAGATTAAAGCCCCAGCCATAAAACCAAGGTTGCCTGCCAAGAGAGGAGGAGAATGTCTTCAGTGCTACTTCCATGTACTGGTTATCTAATTAAAATACGGAGATTGACTCTCTGCTAGCATGGAATTTGGAGACACAAATAGCATTCATTTTCTTCTTTGTGTGCACAGTAAAACCCTCTTTCCATACAACCAGCGTTATTTAACTTGTGTGGCAAATCAGTGCAGTCCTTACCACTTTCAGTAGGTACCATACAGTAAAATACTCACAGTATTCCTCTAACTAGGTAAAAGTAACTCTTACAAGACCTGGATACCAAGATCTCCGTGTGTGGATTAGCATTCTGGACTCCCACAACATCTAGAAGAACACGTGTCTCAGATACCTAGGTGTGGATATATGTTTCACATTGGCTCCCGTCACGTTTGGCCCTTAAGCCTATGATCAGCTGGGCAAGGAGAGACCCTGGCACAATGACAGGTCCCACTCCAAAGTTGGAGACATCATCTATGCTGTTTTGTTTCCCTAATTGGAAGCATCCCATCAGAACAAGAATACTGCTTCTTTTCTTACATATAATTTTCTTCTGTCCTCTGGTGTGTTGACTTGCTTTTAAAGTAAGACTTTCCATATTCAGGATTTCTTATCAGATGGGCATTTACATTTTATAAAACATATTTATGGAGCAGCTCATCATGGAGCAGTGGGACTGTAACACTGCCAGTCAGAACACAATTTATCCGTATCTTGCTATCCCATTGATTAAAAGACTATATTTCAAAGCAATTATATCACAGTGGTAAATTATGTCTTGCTGACTATGGTCTAATTCTAGGTCATAAAATTGAGGGGTTTTAGGTTGGAAATTTTTTATCATTTTTTGACTGACATGTTCTAGCCATATCCGTATTTGGAGAACAACAAATAGGCTGCTGTAATTTAATAAGGTTTATGATAATTGCAGCCTTAGTTTTTATAAATACATACACATCAACCAGAGTTCCCTTTGAGATGTTACTTTGTTGAGGAAAGCTTTACACTCCCTCACTGCATCAAAGGACAGAAAGAGTTCTTTCAAACAAATTCTCTGAACCCCACTTTACATTGTGTATGGCAAAGACAAAAGAAAATGCCCATAAAGCTATTCTTCATCCTCTTCCGTTACTGATGCTTGACTAACATGTCAAAAATTAGCACGTCTGCAGTACTCGTGATGATGTATTTCCCACTTTTCCTTTCGGAATGCTGTAAAGCACTTGTCTATTGAAAACAGCTTAAAAAATAGAGCTTGCTAAAATATAAAGGGATGAGGCTTACCCGAGGGAAGAAAAGAAAATTCTGCTACAAGGAAAGGAAGAAGGGGGCTTTGCAGAATGTTTCCTGCCTTTCTTCCACAGATAAAAAAAGCCTCAACTTTTCTAGACAGATGACTGAAGAGCTTTCTGTGTCCACTGCTAAGAGCTCATCTCCTAGCTCTTCAGCATACAGCGCCCTGGATAACCAGGGTCTGGATAAACAGGTGTCCGGGGGGGGAAGGTGAAACTTTGTACATCTGCCACTGGGGCCAGAAATACATCCCACCCTCCAGAAGCTATGATGAGGGAGGTGAAGAAGGTGTGTGAAGAAGAGCTGCTAATAGCAGTAGCAATGAAGCGGAAACCTTGTTCTGAGTCAGGTTGCTCAGACCAGGGCGGCTGGCTGAGCAAAAGACATATCCCTATACGAGGGGTAGGAAATCATGCGTTTCTGATTACCTGTTCATCTCCTAGCAGCCTTTCCTCATAGGAAGAACAGCACCTGGCTCACAGGTACATGACTTCTCACCCTCCTACTGCTGGGGTGGTAACTCATGGTCTAGTTACTGGCTTATTCTGCGGTAAGCTACCAGCGACGTTCCTGTGTAACACTGTCACGCAGAACCAAACCACAGCCTGTGGAGTTTGATCAGCCTGTCTTTATGTTCAGCTCACCATTGACAGAACGGGAGTATTTTTATTTCACAGGAATGTCCTGAAAATAAATAAACTGAAGTCTGCGAGGTGCTCAAATATTACAGAAGTGGGAGGCTTTGTAAAAATATACAGAGGTTAGGCTTTTTCTAAACTCTCCATCCGTCCCTGCCTTGGGATTGCGTTCCACACCTTACATGCCAAGTATCTTTCTTCACCAAGATGAAAATATTCAACTGTTTGGCAAATTGTCTCTAGGCCCAGAGCAAGTTTTCCAGGAGCAAAATCTCACCGACAGAAAATATTTGCAAGGGCAAACAGGAGGCAAACAATATGTAGGCATAGTAAATCATGCTTTCAAAGCCACTCACAGATTCAATGAATACAGGCCCCTGCTGACACCCGTCACTCGCCCCGGTGCTGCTGGGCATGGACAGGACCGTCCCCGTGTCCTTGGTGGGAAGCGAGGCGAGGCACCATCCTGCACCCCGCAGGTGTGCCAGACCCAGCGGAATGGGCTATGGCCACTCCACACCCCGAGAAAGAAACCGAGGGGAAAGATCAATATTTGCCCAAGAAGAAAAGGTCAAAAACCTATGGAATAATTGTTTTAAGGATACAATGAAGCATTTATAAAGAGAAATAATCGTGGCTGTCAGAGGTCTCGCCAGAAGTCCGTCTGAAATCGGACGGCCCGTGAATGGCATGGGCGGCTGTGAGAGCCTCTGCCTGCCTCTGCCAGGGCTAGCCTGTACATGGCCACTTTTTAAAAAGCCCGTTTCCCCTTATGAATAGGCATGATCTGCTTATTAAGACAAGAAGCACTTTCCTCTGTCCCTCCCTCTCTTTGTGGTGACTGCAGCGTGTAGCCGCCTGAGCGCAGGGCTGGTAAGTTATGCATGCTGGAGCTGTTCTTTTGTGAAGGGGAGATGTTACAACTTGTGTGATTTGCCATTATGCTGTCTTTTGTGACAATCCCAAGATCGAAAGAAATGTCTGGAATATTTCTGGCAAAAAAAATCTCAAGTCCAAGAAAGGATTCAGCGGAGGATGTTGGTGTGCTTTACATTTGAGGGAAGAAAGACAAATCATACACGCAGTGCCCCCACCCCCAAAGCAAAACCATCTTTATACGCACACAGGGATTTTATAAATCCCCAAGTCCTTTCTTCTGAAAATTTATTGCAAAACAGCTATCAAAGTTTCTGAGTAGGGAAAAAAATCTTCTCTAATACCCACTAACAAGTCTGTGACCTGGATATCATGCAAAGACCACTTTGTCTACAATTTCCATTTACGATGGAACCTGAGAGCAAAGTTAAAGTCTTCATACCAAGCACCGAATTTCTGGATCCCCAGTTACTGCTTGCTCAGGAAAAGTGTGATTTTTTTATAAATTACTTTTCAATAATATTTTACATTTTACAAAGAAAATGATGTCATGTATGTTCTACAAGAGAAAAATCTGCTGTTCTCAAAAAGACCCCAAGAAGAATGTATTTGGCAATTAAAGACATACATCATGAATGTATTTCACCTCTGAAATGAAGTGCTGATGTGTAGAAATGCACTTTGATTTAGGTCTTATCTTCTTAAAGCGAACAGTTCGAGTCTCTCCACATACTACTGAAATTCAACGGTATTATTATTACGATAAGAATAATGATTGTCTACATGTAAGACTCTGGGGGGAAAATATATTGGAAGTGAATTTGTTTACAGCACAATTAACCTTATGTTAAAAACATATGAGCAAGTTTTGCAGGTCAATAATCTACCATACAAAAAGGGCTGAATTATCAGAATTTGTGCTAGCAATCGGATGTTGCTTTATGTACGGAATTTCTATCTTTCTGTTCTAAAGTAACCATTGGAATAATTTTCTTACAGAATGATAGTTGCTATGACAACCATAGCAAATTTTCCTTTTCTGAAACAGATGTCTCATTTAGTTGAAAATTAGAATGTGAAAAACCCATGGGAAAAATTAATTCAAACTTTAACAGAACACTGACTACAATGTAATCTCTTATAGGTTAACCCCTTAACATCTTTCTGCACTCTTACAGTAACCTTCTCATAAATTCTAATTAAAACAGTTTAACCTCCTAGGAATGACCTTCTTAGCTATCATTAGAGCTTTAGTTATCTTTGAAAGAAGCACTTCTGCTACAATAATAACAGAAAAAAGTCATACTAAAAAAAAAGTGGTCAAACATATTACCGCCTTAATTATTTAGTAGTTTTTCTTGTTTTATTCAGCTACTACTGGAAAGAGCTACCATATAGACCAAGAATTCTTTTGTCATTTAAATGGGACATAAACTTAGTTTTACATGTGATTTACTGTAAAGGGTGGTGATGCACTACACAGCTTTGACCTGTAATTTACGTGAAAATTGAAGGTTTTCAATTTTCAAACCACTGGTACCCATTTCAATCTGCTCAGCAGACGTACAAAAAGGGGACCCAAAAAAGGATACTTAACTGGGGAAAACTATCAACGTGCATGGATTTTTCTATTACAAGCAATGAGAGAGTGAAATCTGATTCTCTATCACCTTGATTCAATTTAAACATTTTAACTTAAAGAACGGATTCCTTCCTCTCTGTATGCCTACCAGCTCAAGGGGACCCTCCACAGTACTTGGTCGTCGGCTACAGATGAACATGGCAGGCAGCCAGCAGGCAGGCAAAGAAATATTCCCACCACAGCACCGCCCGTAGTGCTTGTGTGGTGTCAGCCACCACAAGAACTTCAGGACTGCAAGATTTACTGCATCAGATGAATCTCGGTTGTCCAGTTGAATAAGACAAATCCTGCCACCAGTAGGCACGCAATTACTCTCTTTGACTTCAAGGGAAAACTCCCTTGCATGGTCCACTACCCGCGGAGAGCTATGGGTGGTAACTGACTGAATAGCCATTAGCGTATCAAAGGGATTGGTGGGCAGCATCTTGCAAACACCTTAGTAGCAAAAAATACGGAACTAAAACACAATGCGCAGATCATTGTACCTCCTCATTTCTATAAAGTTTCCTACAGAAATCTTCTTTGCAGCTGAAAGGCAAGTTCTCTCACTAG